TAGTCTACAGCAGCATACTTTCTTTCATGGTTTCTGAGTCGAGTCAAGTTTCCCACACAGAGATGGATAATAAAAGTCAGTATGTACACAGGAAAAGATGCTGAGATTTATTTATTTACAATTATTCATGTTGTAAGCTAAAAGTGGTGGTAGGGCAAATAGATGTTAGGAAACTGATCTTCCCGAGTGGCTCTCCCAGGCTGGTGAATATAGGATGCTTTTCTGACCTCCCTCCTATTCATCAACAGATTTATGCAGCTAATAGAAGGGTTAGTAAAGAAATGTGGAGTTGATTGTTTCCCTGTGCAAAAGACACCCAAATTTATCCTGCTTGGCTCCAATTCTGAACACACCAGAGTGTGAATAAGATTGAGCTGACTGAGGCTCAGCTGAAGTATGTTCTTTGGGAGGGGAAAGCTAGAGGAGGAGAGCTCTCCATGGGCGACTGTAGTATCGCACAGTCTTTTAAATATATTTAAAGGCAAGGATGTATTATTATTCTCATTTTATAGATGATGAAAGGATGAATAATCAGTCCAGGGTGACACCAAAAGTCTGCTGTAGAGCAGGGATGGGAGTTCCTGCAGATGACTAGCTCAGTTTTTCTTGATACTACTGCTGTAAAGCTACCGGGGTTCTGTTACACCATAACGCAGTGTTAGGGTATTTATCCTTCATTTTCTTTTCTAAATAACTAAACCTCATAAATGTCACAGATACTTTCCCTGACCTCGGAAACTTTAAAACACTAAAATCTAGAGCTAGATAAACACAAGAAATAACCCTACTTACGCGTTCTCTTCATCAAAATTTGCTCGCTTTGACCCAATTTTGTAGAAAGAAGGCAGCTGAGGAGGTCCTGATTTCGCAAATGCAGCAGAAGAACCGGCTGTTCCAAAAGCGCTATGAGACTGTTGAGAGAGCTTAGGCTCCTCTTTCTTTCCAGGTGTTATGGCAAACCCACCAAAACCAAAGCCTCTCTTAGTACCAGGTCCACCTTTATTCCAATTCATGATGTCCTCAATATATCTGTTAAAATCAGAACAGACACATTAATCCCCGTTCTGCTTTAGGCAGTTATATATAATTGTCACAATTATTCTTGCAAGTGGATTACTTCAGTCATGATAAAGAGACCTGTGGAAACGTGACTGACAAGAGCTTGATCTGTTTCCCAAAAAGGATTCGGGCTTTGTTCTCTTCTTGTAAGTATGCACGTATCCACAATTCGAAAAAGGAATAAAACAAAGAGGTCGCCTTCCAATACAGATCATGTCCCTCAGTGATTACTTAAGCACATTTAAGATGTTGCCTGTCTTGTGTGTTTCGCAACCTAAGACAAACAAACCCAAGGCCAGAACTTTGAACATCAGGAGGAACAAGAGACGAGAAGTCAACTCAGTGCGTATTTTGCATGTCCATACAGTCCCATCCTTGAGCGTTTCATGGCTTTGTAAACAGCACGCTACTGCAATCCAGGCATCTCTAGAAGAGCGGGCCCAAGGCAGCACACCACTCCGTTACGAGACAAGGCACACTTCTGCCAAAAAGTCAACTCCCTCTTCTTCTTAAGAAAGCATCTTTAGCCATATGTATGTTCTCCGACCTACATTTTTCAAACCACATTTTAAATACTCCATATAACATGCCTGCCCAGAACTCGGTTTTCTAAGTTAGATGACGAGAAGACTGAACTGATATACTAAGATGTACACTTTCCATTCCAAGTAATTTAATTATTTCATCTGCATGGTCAAGTAAGTCATACCTTTAAGGCAGCCAAAGAGAGTATGATACCCACTGCTTTCAAGTGCATTATAATTAGACGGCTCGAAGGCTACAAGTCTTATTAAACAAATCCTCACATTCAGTGAGAATCCTCCAATGAGATCAAAATTCACTGGCAAGAGAAACAACTTCAAAATAATCTGAGAGCGAATACTGCTATTGCTCCCTGTGCAGAACATTTGCCAGCGTAGGACTTGCTCAATAAATCTCAAGTCTGGACCAGAGCTCACTAGGAGACTTTGGGGAAAACTCTGCTGTTCAGTTCTCCGTGGCAGCAGCTGACTCCGGTGTTCTGTTCGCCCACTTGCACTGACACACCTTGCAGTTTTCACCCCTGCAGACGCATGGCAGGTAAGAGATCAAAATATACAACGAACAGATGAAAGGTGTAACTTCGCATTTCTGCTGCTGACAGCCCAGCGGGCCATCTTTTAAGTTATCACATCCGATTTTAAGGATTCTTCCTCCCTGTACTTATCGACATTTTTTTTCCTCCCACCACCCCAGAAAAGAAAAAGAATCATTCTTTTATTCTGTCATACAGCTGCAAAAGTACAAAATTTGGTCTGTTTGCCCACGGAGCCCGTTAGTGACTGAACACCGAGAGGGTTCCTGCAGGACACCGATGAAACGCGGAGTGAGACGGCAGCCTAACTGCCCAGGCTTTGCTTCCCTGCGAACGCCGTTCCGAGGGAGGAAACGCCAAGGCACGGACCCTTTCTACGGACCCCCGGCATGCGAGGGAAACGCAGCGATATGTCTTAGCTGCTCCCGTTTCTGGCGGTTGCTGAAGAGAGGAGAGACCCCCCGCCCGCCGAGATCGCCCTTCCCTGGGCACAGCCGGAAAGGAGACAGGCGGCCCCGGCGCGGCGGAGAGCCCCCTGCCCCACGGCAGGCGCGGCAGAAGGGAGCCGCAGCTCGCCCTCACCGCGGCGCGCCCTCCTGGCACACCGGGCCCTGCGCGGGGCCGGTAGCGGGGCCCCTCACAGCCCTTCCCGCCCGCGGG